TGGAAGCCATGAGGAGATTGAGTCCCCTACGAAGACAACGCAGGCATCCTGTTTAATTCACTCCCAGGCTGCAAACTGACTACACCGTCCTTTACACCGACATGTGTCACAGCCTCTCGATCTACTCTGTCCAAGAGGAATCTGCATATCAGTGTTCACATACTTTACTGCCATAAATCAGAGTGCCGCGCCATGACAGACTTTTGAAAACGACAGAAATAAATCAAAGTCTTTTGCAAAGGCACTACAAATCATCTTCTCGGGGTCTATATTGATGTAGCAAACGTCTTCAATGTCCCACACTGCCACAACGGTCATGTTTCTGTTCAATAACTTCACTGACACTCTAGCTAACATAGCAGTGAATTATTGCAGTTTTATCATACATTGCATATTTCATAGGAAGACTACTTCTTAAGGCCTTTATGAAACATTCACACCCATCTCACTCCAAGTATAGTTAGCTGTGCAAGGTGAGGTATTCTCAACTTTCTCAATTTTTATTTGTTAGAAACTAATCGTGGACTTTTTAACTTGCACTACTGGGTGCAACTCGATATTATCTGAAAATGAACATAATTCAGTTTTTAGACAATACAATGTTTCCCTTTGCCATGACTCTGCATTCCAGTGTGACTAGATCACATTTTAACATATGGCCTTCTTTGGTTTGATTTGTTACCAGAGAGAAAAGCTGAAATTTTTCAGTTACGTCCATCTAAAAAGGTCCTGAGACATTTTACTCTGCACCAACGTGGTGTACTGACTGTTTACAAACAAATAAAAATACAAAACTAGTAACATTTTTGAAAATATGAAATGTCATCAGTGTCAAAATTAAGTGAAAAATAATCAACAATATTACTGAATCATTATCCTAGCATGTAAAGCAGAACATGAATGAAACTAAGTTGCACTGTAATGACTGCTTTAACCTTTTTTGGGTCATAAGATGTCAAAGTAGTTCTGGTTTGAAACATTGTTGCATAGGACTGTTGTGGGTAAATCGTTTAACACTTAGGCAGTGCTGACAGCATCACCATCTTCAGGACTATGGCATTAATCCAGGATCTACCTGACCACTCTGAGCCACTTTAACTTGTGATTGGTCATTAGGAGCATGCTGATCCTCAGCTTAAGGCATCTGTCGATACCGAGAACTGTAATTAATAAACTGCACTTCTCACCGTAAGGAATAGAGAAACATTTCTATGTAAAAGGAAACATTGCTTTCCCAACTTGACAAAATATTTAGTTAGTCAAGGCCATCTGTTCATTTCCAAACCATAGAGACAGGGTGGATAAACATTTTGTAGGAAGACCAATCTTCTTCTTGTTGTCATAATAGTGTCCAACCAACACACTGCCCGTCTTCTTCTGCGCCTTGTTCCTTCTTTTCTTCGTTAATTTTCTAATGGCTGTCGTTTTCTGATGACATAGCACTGATAAAACAGTCAACTGGTGTTTTTTTCTTATGGTCCAACTTTTGCAACGAAAGGCGAGCGCGGAGAAAATCAAACTGTATGTAAGGCTTCTTCTATTTGTCAGAAAAGTATCCTTAGATTTGAACAAAGGCTGCTGTTATTTACATTTGCACTTCTTTATAATGCAAATATACTGGCGTAATTTCTATAGGTATGTATATTTGACAACCATGTCATCATCTTTCAATGCACAGCTGAAAATATGAATAGGTAGCAGCGAGAGATGATGATTCACACTTTCACGCCTTCCATAAATGCTTAAATACAACCTGCAAAAATGATTTACGCTAGAAAAACATACAGCAAATAAAAATTGTAAATAGTCTTTCAAGTACGTGGGTGTCTTGTATTGAGACAAATCTGCTTGATCTTTAAAGTCCATTATGTTTGATTTAAAGTAATTTAAGTTTTTGCTCATACCTTAATGACCCTGTTTCCCACATCTATCATTTAAATTTCACCTTATCATCTAAAACTGTGTGTGCATTTTAAACTTGGTATTCAGAGTACAAATGGCCATTTAACTATTTCCATGATCATGCGCCGACATATCCTTCTGGAGCTCTTTTCCATTTTACATGCTCAGTGTGCTCTTTGGTTGAAAATGTCAGCACAGTGCCCTGCTGAGGTTTTCTTCATCTTTTGCCCAACATCCTTTTGATAGCTTCTCTTAACATGACTGCATCTGTTGCATCCCCCATTGTGTTAAATACAGTCCAACCCTTTCACAGACACTTTGTGGAAGGTCAATTTTAGCGAGTTTTGACGATTTCATTACACACAGCTCATGTTCTGTGACCGCTTGAGCTTGTATTTTGTCAGCCAAATCCTTTATTTAATACTTTAGTAACGTGCTGCTGTCGTATGTAACAAGCATAAATGCAGCGTTGTGGACTCAAGACACACTTGTTTATTTTTTTGTTTTGTTATTTAACATTCAGAAAGGAACATTTTGGATTGAATGAACAAATCTGTATTACTACAGAGAAAAATTTTAAATAAATAAATAAATAAATAAGGAAAGCACTCAAACTAATTAACCCTAGAACCTTGATGTGCAGTTTTGTAATACTATATTTAATATTGGGCATATTTTAGCCAATGAAATATATTAATGCACAAAAACACATGTCAAATTGAAGTACTAAATAAGAGATCAACCTATTAAGGCTTCAAAGCAAAACAATGAATAACCACCTGGCATTAGTGTACAAGGGTTAAAGAAAACTAAAATAAAAAACAGCAGAAAAACAGTTATCTGGAATCAGCTGCACATCAAAATGTGACTATCAGAGGCAGACGGGAATACAAAGAAATACTCACCGCGTAGTATCTTTTGATGTGGCGACGGATGTCAAGCACAAGTTTGTTGCGGATGTTGACGACGTAGTCAGCTGGAGAACCTCCACAAGGGATGTGACAGCAGCGCATCAAACTAGGCTCAACCTTTGAACCCTGACAAAGAGAGTGTGTATTACATTCCTGAAAAGAAACCGCATGTAACCATGTACACTAAGCTTGCATGATCCTGTAATGAAGCAAAGTAGCTTTATTTTATTGATGGTAACAAAAAGAAAAGGGAACCACAAATCAGGAGACATTTAAAATTCCTCCTACAGTTTGCATGCACATACACTAAAATGCTTCAGCAGATACAATAGCCTCTAAGGGCAAACATCAACTATAGTCTAACTGCCTTATATGCATACTATATGAATTCATCACAGCTCCATATTTAACCCTGTAATTAGTTTTGCAACACACAAACACAACCATTACCTTTAAACCTTAACAAAGACCATGTCAAACACAGAGGAGCTTAAAGAAACCCTGGGTCCAGTAGATTTTAACGTTATTGTAGGCAGAAGAAAACAGGTCAACATGACCCCGGTTCCCCTGAATTGTCCACTTGACAGTTAGCTTTATAGTTAATGCAATGAAAAAAGTAGACGCACTACATACCAATTACACTAAATATAATGCCTTTAAACACTTGCTCCTTTAAACCTCAACTCCATTTACCTGTCGCACTGACAGCCGCAAAAAAAGGTTTCTGCAGGGAAGTCTGTGACATAAAAGAATGCATGTGACACCCCCCACCCAGCCACACACTGGCTTTTTGTTTGCCTACATCACTTCTTTAGGAGTGAAAAAAAAGAAACACACAGTTTTCTACCAGTTGGAGTCAATCAACTCATTTGATTTCTCTAATAGCCAGCCACACCAAGAACACACACATACGCACATCGTAGCCTTACTCTCATTTTAGTCTGTCTAATCTCCTCCCCTCGTCTTCTCTACAGGGAGTGCAGAATTATTAGGCAAGTTGTATTTTTGAGGAATAATTTTATTATTGAACAACAACCATGTTCTCAATGAACCCAAAAAAACTCATTAATATCAAAGCTGAATGTTTTTGGAAGTAGTTTTTAGTTTGTTTATAGTTTTGGCTATTTTAGGGGGATATCTGTGTGTGCAGGTGACTATTACTGTGCATAATTATTAGGCAACTTAACAAAAAACAAATATATACCCATTTCAATCATTTATTTTTACCAGTGAAACCAATATAACATCTCCACATTCACAAATATACATTTCTGACATTCAAAAACAAATCAGCGACCAATATAGCCACCTTTCTTTGCAAGGACACTCAAAAGCCTGCCATCCATGGATTCTGTCAGTGTTTTGATCTGTTCACCATCAACATTGCGTGCAGCAGCAACCACAGCCTCCCAGACACTGTTCAGAGAGGTGTACTGTTTTCCCTCCTTGTAAATCTCACATTTGATGATGGACCACAGGTTCTCAATGGGGTTCAGATCAGGTGAACAAGGTGGCCATGTCATTAGTTTTTCTTCTTTTATACCCTTTCTTGCCAGCCACGCTGTGGAGTACTTGGACGCGTGTGATGGAGCATTGTCCTGCATGAAAATCATGTTTTTCTTGAAGGATGCAGACTTCTTCCTGTACCACTGCTTGAAGAAGGTGTCTTCCAGAAACTGGCAGTAGGACTGGGAGTTGAGCTTGACTCCATCCTCAACCCGAAAAGGCCCCACAAGCTCATCTTTGATGATACCAGCCCAAACCAGTACTCCACCTCCACCTTGCTGGCGTCTGAGTCGGACTGGAGCTCTCTGCCCTTTACCAGTCCAGCCACGGGCCCATCCATCTGGCCCATCAAGACTCACTCTCATTTCATCAGTCCATAAAACCTTAGAAAAACCAGTCTTGAGATATTTCTTGGCCCAGTCTTGACGTTTCAGCTTGTGTGTCTTGTTCAGTGGTGGTCGTCTTTCAGCCTTTCTTACCTTGGCCATGTCTCTGAGTATTGCACACCTTGTGCTTTTGGGCACTCCAGTGATGTTGCAGCTCTGAAATATGGCCAAACTGGTGGCAAGTGGCATCTTGGCAGCTGCACGCTTGACTTTTCTCAGTTCATGGGCAGTTATTTTGCGCCTTGGTTTTTCCACACGCTTCTTGCGACCCTGTTGACTATTTTGAATGAAACGCTTGATTGTTCGATGATCACGCTTCAGAAGCTTTGCAATTTTGAGACTGCTGCATCCCTCTGCAAGATATCTCACTATTTTTGACTTTTCTGAGCCTGTCAAGTCCTTCTTTTGACCCATTTTGCCAAAGGAAAGGACGTTGCCTAATAATTATGCACACCTGATATAGGGTGTTGATGTCATTAGACCACACCCCTTCTCATTACAGAGATGCACATCACCTAATATGCTTAATTGGTAGTAGGCTTTCGAGCCTATACAGCTTGGAGTAAGACAACATGCATGAAGAGGATGATGTGGACAAAATACTCATTTGCCTAATAATTCTGCACTCCCTGTATCTCTCATGTGTTTCTTTCAAAAGTTCACTTTCAAGAGCACACTCTCCTTTCAAAACAAGTTGTATCTACTACAACACTTTCTTTTTAGTCATTTTATCGCCGAGAAATTAAATGAAAATATGAAACACTCAAAGTACCGTCTTGTGACTGTGCGAGACTTATGAGAAAGGGATGATATCTTCTAACACTCCCAGTTCTCCTCAATGTCTGGCTACAAACCCCGGCCGTTATCTGGACCGCCTCATGTCCGCACATTAAATAGGCTTTTGAAAAACAATTTTAAAAGGTTTGCCATGCCAACTGCCTAAGCGGGCCATTTTGTCAACGTCTTGGTTTGTGCAGCTTTCACAGCGTGCTGATTTAACTGCCTGCGTGGGATACCTAACGCTCTATTAAAACTGAACTGAGGGTATTCCCCTGCAGCCTTATCCACATTTTTTTCCCTTCTCTGCACTTAATCTTTTCATCCTCCTCTCCCGCTACCTCCATCAAACAACTTTCCTCCTCTGTCTGTCCTCCATCATACATCACCGCCTCCTCCTACCATCTCTGGCTCTGTGTCAGCGGAGGAGTCAAGGCCCATCTGTCCTCCCCTCTCTCTCTGAGCTGTTAGACCATGCTCACCACCTTAATTAACTTACCGTCTTATCCGTATCACTGTGTGTGCGTGCATACCGGCCTCCGGCAACAGAGAGGAGAATTAACATCAGTAATCAGATGATTCCTGGTTCGTTTAGACTAATGCTATATTTTATTCTGACATTTCAAGTTCATGCATTGTACTCTTAATAGCAGGACGCAGGCCGTTTAGTACAAGCACGATCACTCGGGCGAGATTATTCTGCTTTTTCTTGTGCAACAACACACCAGCATATCTGTTCAAGTGTGTAATGATATTATCCTTTTATGGAGAGTGTGTTTAATACTCCTGTTTTAATTATTACAAGTTCTCTCCACCACTCGAGGCCAAAGGCTTGTCAGTTTTATTAGTGTCTTCTAGACAAGAAAAAGCTGTGTGTCCTGCTCCTCATTAGAAGCTGATAACACACACGCACACACAAAACCTTGGCCTGACAAATGGTAGGAGATCAGTGTGTGTGTGTGTGTGTGTGTGAGAGTGTGTGTGTCTCCATAGAGCCACAGGGGTTAAGGAAAGGCTTTTCAAGTTGTGGAGTCCAAACTATGCCAATGAAAACAGAGTCCGTACTGGAGCCAGGCAGCTGTCTTAAAATACAGACAGAGACACAATATGGAGGATGACTAACGCATGAATCCTTCACAGGAAGTTTTACTGAAATGCCTTCTGAAACATTATTCTCCCGCTCTTTATTTGTGTCTCTACTGATTAATCCATTAGACCAGTGAAACACACCATTACTGATAAAAGCCATCTCCTTTTTTCCCTTTCAATCTTGAGCCATATCTGTGTGGTGCTTTGTGTGTGCGCTGAGAACAGACAGCACATTTCTTCAGCTGAAGTCTAAACTGCCAAGGGTTTAATACAACTTCAAATACAACTCTAAGAAAGATTATCTGGTCCTGCACAAACAGAGAAAGCAATACAGAGGAGTTTTATGATGGACAGCGGTGTGTTCATCTACTCACAGCTCCTTCAAAGACGCTGTCGTAGACGTTGTCAGTGCCACACTGAGGACAGGTGAAAGTAAACCTCTCACAGTCTTTATAGCGCTCCTCATCAGTCAGCTGGACGGGAACACCCAGCAAGCCGTCGGTTTCCTCCTCCCTCTGGAACTGCTGCTGAGCTCTGAACTGACTCGGGTCCAGACCTGACATGGAAATCAAAGACTTGTTTTTTAAGGTTTACAGCAGAGCAAATGTTTATTCAGAAAAACGGCTGAAGGCAAAATATTTCATGCCTGATAAACACCAATGAAAGGTGGTCATGCTGCAATTAAGCATTCTGTATTTAGCTGTTCGGCTGTCGACAGATGTTATTATTATTCTAAAAAAATTTAACTGTGACCCACAGACACTTCATTTGAGTGTTTACGGGAAATGTATTGTAGTGAAACTGGAAATAATTTGCAGCACTTGACAAGATTATTAAGTAGGTATTATGTCTTCTGCGACAAAAGAGGAAACGTGCATAAAATGTGAACCCAAGTAATGATTTAATCCATAGAACATGGTAAATGGCCTGTATTTATATAGCGCTTTACTAGTCCCTAAGGACCCCAAAGCGCTTTACACATCCAGTCATCCACCCATTCACACACACATTCACACACGCTACATTGTAGCCACAGCCACCCTGGGGCGCACTGACAGAGGCGAGGCTGCCGGACACTGGCGCCACCGGGCCCTCTGACCACCACCGGTAGGCAACGGGTGAAGTGTCTTGCCCAAGGACACAACGACCGAGCAGTATTTGCATCTGTAGGAACTTCCTCGAGCAATTTGGTCATTTTATTTCTAAGTAACACGGCTCCTTTAAACTTTTTTGTAATTATTTTCCATAAGGCATAACATTACTCACTTCTGGGGACGGCAATAACTTGTAATTCACTTACCCAACCACGAGGCTATGAGTACACCATCAATACCCTCAATAGGGTCGCAGATGCGAGACACCACAGGGTGGACCTGCTGGGCCAGGTAGTACTGTGTGTCCAGAGTGAGATTCTCCTGTTTCTGGAGCTGCTCTAGAGCATAGGCTCTCTGACTGGCTGGCAGGTTGGAGCCATCCTAGTGGACAAAGAAGATGAATTTCCAATGTATTTGTACTGAAATATCACTGAAACACACAAAGAAATGAGATATTCCCGTTTCTCTAATAGATACACACTTTACAGATGAGGTAGGAGATGGTATCTCCAGCTTTGACCCGACGACCACCCTGAGAGTTAATCCACAGAGCAACATGGACATGAGGGAGACTTTTCTTATCAGGGTAGTCCTGAGGATCCTTTGTCAGTGCCTGGTGAAGTCAAGACAAGACAGCAGTAATAGATGAGAATGGGAATGGCAAAACACAAAAGAAAAACCCAGCATGTCCAGAGTCTTAAGCCTCATTTTAATCAAATGAAAAGTAAACACAAACAGTGATTCCCTCACCTTGTGGATCTCATACTGGTTCAGTGGTATGTCTCCACTAGCCACCTTCTCTCCCAACTCCACCAGGTGTTTCTGGATGTTCTCCACAATGACATCACGACTCTGATCAGACAGGATCTGCCCAATCACGTAGCTAGAAAAATAAATAAACACAATGAATTTTTCCTTACAAATGAAAATCTTTTGTAAGGTGCTTCCAGCGCTCCATATACTGACGCGCTGTTTCCCATGTCCCATGACGTACTTGCCGCATTCCTTAGCCAGGTCACACCAATCCCTACGGACGATGTCCAACCCTTTGAGCTCTTGCTTGACGCTAAAACGTCCTTCTCCGTGTTGTTCCACCACAAGGGCGGCATACTTCTTCTTCTTCAGCAGCAAAAGAGACTTGAACACACCATCGATGTCGATCTCCAATAGTTTGTACAGCTTGTTTACTTCTGCCTTCACCTGGGATCAAAGTGCAAACACACGGATTCAGTGTCAACATCTGGTTATAATCTCCACTGCATGGTGCGCATGTAAAAAGTGATAAAACACCCAAAGCACACACCTTATTGCCAAGCTTAAAAACTTCATCCAGACACTTGCTATTTGTGTTGATCATGATAGAGTCAGTATCTCCATAGATGACTTCCAGATTCATCTGAGTCACACAAAAGGGGGGGAGAGAGAAAGAAAGAAAGAAAGAATCCATACAGTTAAAACTGGGATAATAAAGTGAATATTACACACATCAAACTGCACAATTTCTAAAACAATCTCATGTTAGATTTGACTCATTAAATGATATTTAAGAATCCAGGCGTCCTGATCCAGTGAAGAAGTCATTATTATTTGTCGTGTACATTTTACGTTATTCTGCACATAATTACATATCATATTAGAGATATTAAACAGGAACAACTTGGTAATGACTGACCTTCTGAACCATGTCTTTCGTGTGCATCAAAATCTGGAGAAAAGAGGAGACAACACTCTGAACGATGCCAACAACAAAAACAACACAAGCACAGTAAACAAACACGTCACTCAGGAAGATGAAATGATTAAATATTAAGTTTCCGCGTTATTAATTGTGTGTGTGTGTGTGTGTGTGTGTGTGTGTGTGTGTGTGAATCAAAGAGGGAGACAGAAAGCAAGAGAAGGACAAGGGAGATGAAGACAAATTGGGGGATAATTGGCTAAGAGGGCAATTATGAGAGCATGCTGTGACAGGCGTCTTTTCAACCCACACAAATTCACAGTCAGGCAACACACACACA